CCTCGCTTGCCCCAGATAGTCCACCCAGCCGGGCTGCCAGGGGCGCGCTCTGGGCGAGACAGGGCGAAGGGGGGCGCAGAAACGCAGCCCGCAAGCCTGCCCGCGCCGCGCAGCATCGCGGCCCCTTGCGCGCATCGGCACAGGGCAACGCGCGCCCGCCGCCGCTTTCGCCGGCCGCGCTGCCAGGGGGCGCGCCCCGGGCGAGGCGGCGCGGCGGGCGCGGCGGGGCGACGGGCGCGCGCGCGCGCGCGCGCCCCGCCGCTTCGCCGCGAGCGGGCCCTGACAGGGCGACGGGCGCAACGGGGCCACTGGGCGCGCGTCCGAGGGGGCCGCGCTGGGTTGTCTGGGGCGCGCCCCGGGCGGGGCGCGGCGACGGGCGCGGCGGGGGCGGCGGCGGGCGCGGGCCGGGGCGTTGCCCGTCGCGCTTGCCCCGCCGGGCCTGGCCGGGCTGCTGGGGGCGCGCCCTGGGCGAGGCAGGCGAGGCTCGTGTTCGGGCGCGGCGGCGGGCGGCATTTTTTGCGCCCGCTGCCCTGCCCTGGGCGCGCGCGCTCCTGGCGGCGCGGCTGGGCTGCCCGGGTCGGGGCCGTCGCCCGGCGCCGTGTCTTTGCGCTGTCGGGGGCGGCCCGAGAGCCGCGTCGCGCTGCGCGGGGCACAGGGGGGGCGGCGGGCTGCCTGCGCAAGCAGGCGCGCCCGCCGCTCGGGGCAGCGCGGTCGCGCTTCTGGCAGCCGACCACGGCGCCGAATTTTTCCAAAATCTTAAATTAGCACGCGGCGATGCTCATCACAGGTAAACCGCCTCATCATTTGGCGCACATTCTTTTCTAATAGAAGTCCCCCTTTATTATGCCTGGGGCGAGCGCGGCGGGCGGCGCGCATGCGCGCGCTACCCTCATTGTCGCGATCGCCACCCTGCCCCCCCCAAGGGCGCGCCTTGCGCCGCAGCGCTTGGGTTCTCAGGGGAATTTGGAGCCGCGCGAGGCAGCCGCGTTGCAGGGTGCCTTTCGGCTGGGCGCACCATCTTCAGGGCCCGCTATAGGCTGGCCCGCTTCGAAACGGCGCTTGCTACGATGACGCGCGCGTTCGGCGTTTGGTATCTCATGTTGCAAGTAGACCTTTACTGTCGCGCGTGAGCCTGCAGCGAGGTTCCTGCGCAGTGCGCGCCAGCCTCCGCGCGCATTTCTATGGCGCGGCAGCTTCTGATGTCGCTCAATCGAAGAGCGCCGTGCGAGCTGACTGCTCCGCAGCCACCGCTCTCGCAGGGCCGGCGCTGCCATGCTCGCTGCCGGAGGCGAAGGCACACGGGCAGTTGTTGTGCGTGCGTGATGAAGTCACTGGCGCGACTTTCAAGAATTGCTGACCGAAACGCGAGGTGGCAGATCAGTCCGCGCGAGGGGCCTTGCAGTTTTCGCGTTCTTCTGCGAGGGCCTCATGCTGCTTGTGGGATTGAAGAAGTGCACCTGCGCCAGAGCCAGAAAGGAAAGTCGAGGCCCGCCTTCGCGACTTTTGCGCGGCCCCCGCAGCGCGCGAGGCCGGCGCCGCGCGGGGCCTCGGCGCGAATTGCCTCGTTCGAAGGGGCTCGGTTGTTGTCGATCCACGGTGTCAGAGCGAGCCTGGCGACCACCGGGGCCAGGAGGCTCAAGTCATCCAGTCTGCCGAGGCCGGCGTCAGCCTGTCGCATTGCACGGGGCCCGCGGCGTCGGCCCATTGGAGAACCGGCGTCTCGGGGGAGGCCCCGACAGAGATGGCGGGCCCCCGAGTGTCTGCGGCAGGCAAGGTAGGTCGTCTCTCCATGGGTGTCTCGGTAGGGCGCAGGACCAGGATGCACGCCTGCGGGCGGAATCTTACAACGTAAATATGCTTATGAATGCCCCCACCGTTCCAGCTGCGCATTGGCTTCCGTACGAATATCGATTCCGCTGCGAAAGGTCTCACCTCTGGAGGGCCAACGCGGAGCGCGTTTCAGCGCACCGACGCGGGCCGATCGATTCAGCGGGAGAAAGAGGCCCACACTGTTGCCGACGAGTTTGCGGAAGTTGGCGTCGACAAGCCCGGCGTCGCGTCTGATCGCGCTAATTTTTCTAGAGGTTCGAGCGGCCTCGAGGTGCGTCTTGCCTCAGTCGAGCACAGGGGCGCGGCTGGCTTAGCTTTCCCAGATCCATGCACAGGAGGCCCCGCCCTGCCTGCCAGCGCCAGATTTGTAGACCCCATGCGATGACGCAACGCCGCTTGGCGCGATGAAAGACGGGGGGGGGGGGGGGGGGGGGGGGGGCGACTTTGGCGGGGACTGGGAAAACCGCGTTCGGTACGTGCATCGAGTGAACGAGCGTGCGTTCCTGGCTGTCCAGGTCAAAGACCCCTGATGAGACCCTGTCGGCAATCTTTGTTTCTGTTGCACCCGCGGTGAGACCTCCAGCGGCGGCGTGGCCAGGAAAGCCTCCAAGTAACCCTGTGAGGGGGCCTCGCGGGCGTCACGGGGGGCCTGGCCGACCAGCTGAGGCGAATGAATAAGCTGAGATTTCTTGATTGCGCAATCAGACGGCCAAATAAGGATTGGCGCCCTTGCCGAGGGTACCCTTGCATCCGTGCCCTTTCGGCCCACCCTCGGCGACTTTCGCTGGCCGCGCCCCGTTCGGGAAAATTTGACGCGGCGCCCCGAGACCCTTGTCATCGTCATCGTGCGTCCTTGGTACATGGCGCCCCAAGGCCCTTTTCATGGCGCCCCAAGGCCCTTGGCATCCTCATCGCGCGTCCTTGTAATACACACGGAGGCTGACTTTTAGAAGGGGGTCCAGGTGTCCCGAGGTCCTGGGCCCGGCGAGCGCATGGAGGGGCCTGGTCGAGGAGCTGGATGGCGGGCACGTGGACCCCGGAGACGACAGGGGTCAGGAGGGGAGAGAGCACGCAGACACAAACAGTCGTCGATCCCCAGGAGAAGATGGAAACACATGGGGAGTGGCGGGGTGAATGCGAAGGGGCCAGGAGGGGAAGCAACACACAGACACGATGAACCGTCCATCCCCAGGAGAGGATGGAAACCTAGGGGAAGTGGGTGGAAGACGAGAGTCCAGAAAATTATCCTGGCGAAGGACCCAACAACATACAGTTGTGAGCAACGCGTTGTGGGTGCCGCTGTTGGTGGAATTCCCTATAGGACCACGAAGCGCGTGAGGGACGTGCCGTAAGGGGTGGGGGACACGCATGAGGGCGGCGGGGTCCCTATGGGCCACGAGACGTTGTCATTGGTGTGGCTGACGCATGCGGGCGGTGCCCATCGTTGGAGCACCCGATGAGGCCACGAAGCGCTGTATTGGTTGGGGGAAGCGCATGCGGTGCCGCCGGGGTCTTTCTGTGGAACTCCCTACGGGGCCACGAAACGCTGCACTGGGCTGTGGCCGACGCATGCGGGCGGTGCCATTGGGACGCCGGGTGGAGCTCCTTGTGGGGCCACGGGAGGGGGGGACGCATGCGGGCGTTGCCACTGGGGCCTTCTGTGGCCCCTGGAACCCCTTATGGGGCCACGAAGCGCTGTCCAGGGTGGGGGGGGGCGCATGCGGGCGATGCCCTTGGGGCTTGGTGGAACTCCCAGTCAATGGGGCCACGAAGCGCTGTACTGGGCGTGGTGGACGCATGTGGCCACCCCCATGGGCGTGGTGGAGCTCCCTATGGGACTTCGAAACTCTGTACTGGGTGTGGCGGACGTATGTGGCCACCCCCAGTGAGGCCGCATGTGGAGCTTCCTATGGGGCCACGAAATGTTGTACTTGGTGCGGCTGACGCATGTGGACACCCCCATTGGGGCCCTGGGTGGAGCTCCCTATGGGGCCACGAAACGTTGTACTGGGTGCGACGGACGCATGTGGCCACCCCCATTGGGGCCCTGGGTGGAGCTCCCTATGGGACTTCGAAGCTCTGTACTGGGTGTGGCGGACGTATGTGGCCACCCCCAGTGAGGCCGCATGTGGAGCTTCCTATGGGGCCACGAAACGTTGTACTGGGTGCGGCGGACGCATGTGCCCCCCCCCCCCCCCCCCCCCCCCAGTGGGGCCATACGTGGAGTTCCCCATGGGACCACGAGGCGATTTATTGTGTGTGGCGGACGCATGTGGCCACCCCCACTGGGGGGTTGGGTGGAGCTCCCTATGGGGCCACGAAGCGCTGTACTGGGTGTGGCGGACGCATGTGGCCACCCCCGCTGGGGCCGCAGGTGTGGCTCCCTATGGGGCCACGAAGCGCCGTGCTGGGCCGGAGAAGCGCATGGAGGAGAGGGGGAGGGAGAAGAGGGAGGAGGGACGAGGGAGGAGGAGGAGACGCGGGGACCGTGTCTTCAAAACGAGGACCCGACACCGCAGGATGGTTGGGAAAAAGGGAAGATGAAAGGGGAATCCTGGGCGTCGTGTCTCGTGCTTATGTGTGTCCCTGGGCCCCACGCAAAGGGTGGCTCCCCAGGCTGGGTTCCCGCGGCGAGGGGTGCCTCCACCCCTCGTGGGCAGGTTCTGTCCCAGGTCCGTCCGACCGAAGAAGAGGATCGCCCCCTGAGCGAAGGTTCGGTGGAGGCCTCGACGCGGGCCCGCGCCCCCCTTTGGAGGAGAGGAGTCGGATTCGGCCTCGTCAGAGTTCGTTTGATCATGGCGGGCCTGGCTTCAGGCTGGTCCTCCTCCTCCTCCTCCTGGTCCTCCTCCCTATTCTTCATCCTTAAGAAAAAATCTTGATATTGAGCTCGTGCTGTCTATTGATGAGCCTGCAGGGGCATCTGGAGTCTCCCTGCATCTTTCGAACCTTCTAGGGGCCTTTTCTTTTTTCTCGAGCATCCCCCCCCCTCTTTCCCATCCCTCCTCTTCCCTCCTCTCTCCTTCCTCCTCATGCCCTCCGTTCTCCTCCTCCCTGTTTCCTCCCTTCACCTCCCCTCCTCCCTCTCTGTGTCCCTCGCTCCCTCGTTCCATGTCCTTTCCCCTAGCTCTTTCTCCCTTCCACGCCCTCCCCCACGCGTTTCCGCACGCGAGGAGCTGGATCGCCGGGTGTGTCGGGTGAAGGTCCGGTGGTGGCTCGCCGGGACGTTGGAGGTTCGCCGTGCACCATGAAGGGATATTGAACAGATAGCTCCCGAATGAGGGTTGCTCCCACACCTCCAACCCAGATCTGATACTATGTGGTGTTGTTTCCTTCCGCCCGGGTCTTTCCCCGATTTCGGCCTCTGCGTCTTTCTCTTGGGCCACTGGGGGGGTTTAGATTACCCCAGCGTCGAGCCAAAGTGCGTGCACTGCTCGAGAGCCGGGGCGACCGGCCCACAGCTGGCCTCCGTGATGGTCAGAACTCTTCGAAGGCCTGGGCGCCCAGCCCACAGCTGGCCCACAGAGTTGGCAGAGGCCTCCGGCCCACCAGGGCTGCGAGTGTCCGCCACATTCGAGGGCCAGAGCACCCGGCCCACAGCTGGCCCACAGAGCCAGCAGAGGCTCTCAGCCCGTTGGGAGGAGCGCCCTCCTCATGGAAGTGGCCATTTTTCAAAGCCAAGGCGCCCAGCCCACAGTTGGCCCACAGAGCAGGCAGAGGCCTCCGGATTACCCGGCGGTGAGGGTCGCGGTTTTTCCGAGGGCCAAAGCGCCCGGGCCACAGCTGGCCCACAGAGCCAGCCAAGCTTTCCAGCCCGCTGGGAGGAGAGCCATTCTCGTGAGGGTCGCCACTTTTCGAAATCCAAGGCGCCCGGCAGCTCTGGCCCACAGGGCCGGCAGAGGCCTCGAGCTCACCGGGAGAGGCGCGACCTTTTTGGTGAGGGTTGCAGATTTCGCAGGGCCGAGGCGCCCGGCCCAGAGTTGGCCCGCAGAGCAGGCAGAGGCCTCCGGCCCACCCGGAAGGGCGCCATCCTTCCGAGGGCCGCCTGTTTCTCGACGGGCAAGGGGCCAACCGAGGCGTACGGCCCGTTGGGGAGGGAGCGAGGCGTCCTGAGGGTCGCCACTTTCCCGGGCCCCGGGCCCAGAGATGCAACGCCTTGCAAAGAATCAAGACGATTTTTTTTTTTGTTTCGCAACTTTCGGCCCCGGGCCGCGGGGCCGTCAGAAAACGACTCGGGATGGAAAACCGGTCCTGGGGAACGGATCGAGGTTTTCGGGGACCCCGCTCTGAACAAAACACAACATCGGACCTTTGGGGACGTCATGACTTTTGCATCACGTCGACCCCCAGAGGTCTGGACCTCTCCCCCGGGACCGGTTCTTCATCCTGAGTCGTTCTTGGACGGCCCCGAGGCCTGGGAAGGGCCCCCGGCGGCCGAAAATGTTTCAGAGCGTGCATGACCTACCCCGCTTTCGCTTCCAGGCAAAACCAAGCCATACCACGCGCCTCCTCGCCAAGTGGCCTGCCCAGTACAGGCTGCAATTTGGCATCGTTTGGTATCTCTCCCCCTAAATGTTGAAAAGCATCTCGTCATGTTTTTGTTCGGTGCCCGAGGGGCTTCTGGGCTTCGAGGACCGAAGCGCCTGGCCCACAGCGGGCCCACAGAGCCGGCAGAGCCGTCAGCCCGCTGGGAGGAGCGCCGTCCTCGTGAGGGCCTCCACTTTCCGAGTCGGGGGCCAACTACAGAATTACTGTACTCGAAACTTGATTCTCCCGCCGTGCATGCAAGAAGCACGTGGAATGGTCGTGGGCATTGTACGCATTTTGTCCAGATTCTGCGGGAAAGTCAATGTAGGGGTATATATTCTAGGCCTCCCAGGTGGGGTCGGAGTAGATGGGGTCGGAGGATCGCGCCGCATCGCCGATGCATCGCCGATGCGGCTCGATGTGGAGCCCGATTTGCTTCACGTCGACGTCGCCGATACATCGCCCGCGTCGACGATGCATCGCAGGTGCATCGCCGATGCATCGGCGATGCATCGCCGATGTATCGGCGATGCGGTGCGACCCTCCGACCCCATCTACTCCGACCCCATCTGGGAGGCCTCTCTCTCTCTCTCTATATATATATATATATATATGTATAAATTCTGTAGTCGATTCCCCACTCGAACTCTGCGAAGGCCGAGGCGCCCGGCCCACAGCTCTGGCCCGCACGGCTGGCAGAGGCAGACCCGCGGCATCCCCGGCGGGGGGCGCCGTCCTTGGGAGGCTCGCCGCGCTCCGAGGGCCAGAGCCCTCCCAGCCCACAGCTGGCCCGCAGAGCCTTGCAGGGCTCTTGGAAGCAGAAGATTGGGCGCCGCGTAATGGGGGGGTCACAAATGTCGGGGGAGCGTAAGACCCGGGTTTGCCAGGACTCGGGTTCGCCATCGTTTTTTGACGACCGCGACTCGGATTTTGACGAGGAGGAGTTTTGTGGGATGTCTGCAGCGGGAGGCCTCGTCAAAATGCAGGCTCGGCCTCGTCATTTTTGTTGACGACCTCGTCGGGGATTTCCGAGTCCCCCGTACCCGGGTCTTACGTCTCCCCGAAACTGGGGGGGTGTCGCGGGTGGTCCGAAAAGGTACCCAAACGGTACCTAACCGAGCCCCCTGGGGCTCCGGAGGGGCCCGAAAGGGGCACGAAAGGGGACCTTTTCTGACCCCCCCACTTGTGACCACATCATTAAGCCACGCCCAAAGAAGGAAACGCCATACACAAGTTTTTGCCGCTCCGCGCGAGTTTCTCGGATCCGTGCTGGGGCCCCCCAGCGGCTTTGCCGGCGCCGCCCCGGGCGCGCTCCGCGAGGCAGGGAGGGGGGTCCGGCGCAGATCCAAGGAGTCCGCGCGGGGCGCCAAAGGTTTGTGCTTATGGCGGTTCTTCTCCTTCTGGCTCTGCAGCCCGCCGGCAGGAGCGCCATGCACGCGAGGGTCGCCAGCTTTCGAAGGCCAAGGCGTCCAGCCCTCAGCTCCGGCCCACAGAGCCGGCAGAAGCCTCCAGCCCACGAGGACGGGTGCCATCCTCTTGAGGGTCGCCACGTCTGCCAGCCCACAGCTGGCCCACAGAGCCGGCAGAGGCCGCAGGCTCGCCATGGAGGGGCGCCACCCTCGTGAGGGCGCCAGGTTTCGAGGGGCCAGGCGTCTGGCCCACAGCCGGCCCGCAGAGCCTGCAGAGGCCTCCGGATCACCACATCGGCATCAACACACAACAGCGGTTATGATAATGATGACAGTCGCGCGAATAGCCAGGGCAAAGCAACCACACGAAGGGTAATGACCACATCCCCATGAAAAAAAACATAATGACAGGAACATAAGAGTATGCCAAGACATATTCCATCCGCAAAGCCAGCATACTGACGTGATTATCGACGACTTTCTCAGCGATATGTGGAGCAGAGGCAGAATCATCAAGAGCCGCATCAACTGCGTAATGCCAAGAAGATTAGCAACGCATCATGAACAATTGTCAAGGCAAACAACAACCGCATAACAATAGACAGTTGGGCAAACGCGACCACATGATCAGCAACTGCAGAGCCAACAGCACAATAACCACATTAACAGCAACGACGACATGAGCAGCAACCGCATCCTGAACAGCAGTGGTGATTTCAGCATCAGTCACATCAGCGGCAACTACATCGGCAAAGCAGTAACGAAAAGCAGCCGCATCAGCACAGCAGGCAGCTATCTCTGATCACCTATGCGCACTGTCATGCAAGAACTCTGTACGCGAAATTAGTTTTGGGGAGACATGGGCTCGGGGCGAACATCTGGCTCTGGGAAAGGAGCCTGGACCTCTGGGGCTGCGCACTGAACAGCAACACCTCGTCGGAACGTATTCAAAAATGCATGCTGGAATTTTCACTGGTTGCGGTCTTCGGGGGCCTTCGACGCCCCCCGGGGTCAATCCGACAACGACTCGGGACGAAAGCCGGCCCTGGGAGGAGGGAACTTCCAAGGAAGCCGCATTGAAACAGCAATGCATCGGAGATCTGCTTTGTTTCGCTGCTCCTGGCCTCCCCAGGCTCTCTGGGACCCGTCAGCAAACATGGCCTGGTATTGAGCTGACGGTTCCCGAGGGGAGCGGGGCCTCGTGGGGGATAGGAAGCAAGGTCAGAGACGCCCCACGGGTGGCCTGGACACGTTAGTTTCGTTTTGCCCGATTCATGGCAAGGTGCAGGCGGTGGTGACTGCGATAGGTGCTGGGATGACTGTGAAGTACTTTCCTTTGTTTTTCAAGTCTGACTACCACTTCAGCCCCATTGCAATATGCATACTGAACGTGGTGCTGCCTCTGTGCATGTCCGCGACGGTGCAAGTGGGCATCGTGATCTCGCGGCGCATCGGCAGACTGCAGGCTTCGTTGCTGGTTCATTTTCTTGGGACCGCCTGCCTCTGGTCCATGAGCTACTGTCGCAGCCTGCCACTTGTGCTTCCAATATTTGTTCTTCGAGGCGCTCTCATGAATTCCAAGGCGCCTCTCACCCGATCCCTGATCCAGAAGGACAAGAACCAGCACAAGCACAAACGTTCGGAGGTCTGCGCGGGCTTCTCAGTCTGGCGCTGGACCTTCCTACCCACACCCCTTTCCCCGGCGCGCGCCGGGGGTCCGCGCCGCTGGCGAGGGCTCAGCGCCAGCACAAGACACCCGCGCGGACGTTCGAAGTGTTCTCTGCTTGTGGAGAGTTCTGCTGTTCTGTGGTCCTGGACTCCGTGGCTCTGGAGGTTCGCGGGCGGTGGGCCTCCATGCGGTGGGCTTGCTTCTCTGCCGCCACCGCAGACAAGGGCGGCGGACCGAAGGGTGGCGCCCTCTTCGACGTGGCGCCGTCCGCGCCCCGCAGAGCACTGCAGCCAAGCAGGATCGTAAAGAGGGGGTAGCTTTCCAGGGGCATCCGCTCCTCCTGCAGCGTCGGCCCATCCCGGGGC